GTATGACATTCTTTGTCAAACACCCCTAGCGAACTGACAGAAAGATTTATAAACTTAACAGATATAAAGTTTTGATCCAGTTCTCTAATTAGGTTCTTGTATTTAGCTTTCTTGCGGTTAACATTGTTTGTGATGTTTGATTCAAAGCCTACAGTAAGTTCAACAACGTAGAGGTGTTTGTCTGAAGTGGAGACAAGTAAATCAGGACGATATTCATCTCCTGTAATAATCGAGGGGCTTTCAAATCCAGGAAGATCAACAAGTAATTTGCATTTGTTTAAACTTTGAAAAGTAATAATAATAATAATAATAATAATAGTAATGATAATAATAATAAGACATGACAACGCGTTAAAATTAAAGTACTAGCAGTGCAATGGGCGATAGATAATGGATTGTTACCGAAAGGAACGAAGTGGTACACAGAGAAATGGGAGAGAGGAAAAGTAATTGCAAATAACGGGAAGAAGCTATATTGGGATTGGCGGAGCACAGGATGAGGACGAGTTGCACGGCAAGGAGGCCCGATCTGACGCTAGAGGACAGCAGAAAGAAAGAGATTATGCTAATAGACATGGCATGTCCGTATGAGTCGAACAAAGACGGGAAAAGAGAAGAGAAGATAAGAAAGTACCAACAGCTTTGTTATGAATTACGGAAAATACGGGACGGATATAAAGTGAAAGTTATACCAGCGGTGATCGGCTGTTTAGGAGGAGGGATTAAAAGACTGAAAGATGATATAAGAGAGTTGTTTAACAACGAGAAAGATTTACACTGGATAAGTAGAGAAATGCAAAAGACTGTATCATGGGAAAGTGAGACAATTATGAGAAAAATATTATCTGGACTGTTGACATGAGGCCGTGTTTTCGGATAATAGCTGACAAACATTGATAGCTATATAATTCGCCTTGAAGTAAGAAGGGCACTGGCCAATGTTACAATATGCTTTTAGAATTTTATTACGGTGTTATGAAATATGAATTGTATAACTTAGTGGAGGCATCATTGTATTGTTGGTTAATTCCACTGAAAATAATAATAATAATGAAGCTATTAATGTTAAAGCTTATAATGTCTTAGCGCGTCCCATCACTATACGGTGGAGTGTCTTATAGTGACAAATGTTTCTTTCCACGACCAAAACTGTTACTAAACTGCGTTGCCAACATCTTGGCAACTTGAATTCGCATATTCAGTTTTAACGTTCTTGAACATATCCATTAATGTTTTTAGCCCTTTCATGTTCTCACAAGGCTGTCAATTAACAAGACCG